ATCCATTTTTTTAATCCTTCAACCATTTCAATCCTTCTCTTAATACCCTATCCTCTCCTGGGCGATATACGTCTATCACCGTTCCTCGGGCGTATTGCACCGAGCGACGAGAGGACAAGGTGCAAAAGAGGGAATAAGGCGAACCACATCTGGATCAGAAGGATACGGCATGTTTCATAAGGCATGCGGGAAAAGATCGAGGGAGAGAGATGCGAGGAGAAATAAATGAACGATCCTGGCCTACTAGCCGACGAATCGACAGGCGACGAGACGACTTTGAGATGTTCTAAAACATGCTTCTTGATGTCATGTAGAGTTTCGAAAGGGTAGTTGGCAAGGCGACTCGGATTCACGTATAACTCAGTGCGCAGATTCGTTATGCTACATCTGCATTTTTTGCATGTTTGTAATTTTTTTTATACGCATTCTTACGTAACTCACTTTGACGATTATTTTACGGTTCCGCTCTTGAAGTCCGAAGATGCTAACCTGTTTGAATTATAATACAACAGGAAAAATACACGTGTATAGAAAAGACGCAACAAGACCCTGGGCTCGAACCTCCAAAAGTAAAAGTTCGAAGCTCCGAAGACCGACGTCACCTGCTGCCGCGACGTGCTGCATCGATAGTGCCAACAATTTACATTTAAGCTGCGACTTGCAGGATGCCAGGAGTCCGCGCTCTGGACGTGAGCGCATACTAACGTCTGGCGTAGGGAAATAATTGTGTTGGCGAGATTTTAGTGTGTGTGAAAGCAGCAAAAAAACATAACTTTTTAGACGAATCAGGTGTGATATTGAAACTATGAAATGTAATGTTTTTTGTTAATTGGCGGCTTATTATAAAAAAGAAATTGTGATGCCTGATATATATTTGCGAAAGTGCCAACTCAGTACCTATAAATCAGACGTCGAATGATATTACTACAGGCTATAAAAACATTATAAACACAGCACGGCCGGGGACCTCGAACTCAACAGATGAAGTCTGGCAATCTCAAACTCGTCTACCTCGGAGCTATGCGCTCATTCACGAACAATGCAAAATCATACGTATATTAAAGCTGCGCTCGAGGTATTGCCATTGCTTCACAAGGGGGAGCGCTCCTATAACTGCCGCCCTCCGAATCCCTTCCAGTTTGTATCTGATACTGCTCTACACAGTCCGGTTTCGACTGCAGTGCCATCTCATTGACGACACTGCTACATATAAATCCTGTTCAACTGCCCAATTTGGAGCCCAAAATTCGTGTTTGCGTCAGTCCTTGCCACTGTCTGAATGTTAAAAAACAATCAATTCATAGTGTAAAATTGAATAATTTAGAAATAATTAGAAATCTTGTATTCCAGATGATATTCTCCGGAAAATTAGTTTGGAAAAATTCTGATAGGTGACAGCATTATGCTCGCAGATGACCTCAGTCATCCATATGAAAAAATGCTCAATCCGTATCCGAACTGATGGTGCCCTGCATTTTGGCGAGTAAATTCTGTATGTGTGTGTACGGGTAATATATGTATGTGGTGTAACATAGTGTATCACTTTACAATGCCCCTACACTTTGATGACTATTGCAGTTAGGATAAATAAAAATGATGATACTCATTTAACATTATTAATATAATACCTGCAAATAACTTCAAATACATATACTCATCCATTATTATCATTTTTATTAGGTATAAATGTTAATAAGGAAGCTCATTCCAAGTCGGCGTATCCAAGCATGTAGTGTAAAAACAAATATACATAACTCAATATCGAGATCATGCTGGCCATGTGGTTAGGGCGTCAGAGTTCTATTTTGCCGGGCAGGGTTCGATCCCAGTCATAACCAATTGTTTTTTTCTACTTTATTCGTTAGATTAGCATGTAATTATAATATTGACATGCCATAATTGATCCATTATAATGATTTGATTTTTTTTTCTCTTTACTCATTGAATTTATTGACACTAAGTCAGAAAATATTTGAACAGAGCCATAAACTTTTCTTTTGTATGAATACATTGATAATAGCCTGTGTTTAACAACTTATACATCTTTACATGTATTAACAATGTTATGTTATTAACAAGTTAATCATATTATTATCAACATTGAAAAGTAGTTTAAACAATCCGTGGCGAGTTCCGGCACTTCGCTGGCAAGCTCTACCCCCACTCTCTATGCCCAAGCCTGCAGCTTATAATTTTGAGCATATATAAATGTTTTGTATCATAATAGCTCGGTGGTTAGCGCATCGATCTTTCATTTTGATGGGCAGGGTTCGATTCCAGTCATGGTAGTTTTTTTTTTCTTTTTCATTTGTTAGATTTGCATGTAATTATAATATTAACATGCTAAAATGAATTCTTACCAACGATTTGATTTTTTTTTCACAATTATTTATGTAATTTATCGACGCCGAGTCGGAAAACATGAACAGGGTTATAAACACTTTTTTACTATAGCTATATGAACGTAGCTTTTTTTAAGCAATTTAGAATATTTAGAAGTAGTTGAAATAATCCACGGGGATTTCCGGCACTTCGCCGGCAAACTCTATCCCCACCCTTCGTACTCAAGCCTGCATTATACAATTTATAAACATAAACATGATGTCAGAGATAATATGTTAGCTCTGTGAGTAGAACACCAAGCTTTCATTTTACCGATTAGGGTTCGATCCCAGTTATAGCCAATTTTTTTTTTCATTAAAATTTATATAAATACAATAATTGGTTGTTTGTATAAGTTGAAATCAATTCCTAGTGTCTTTTAAAGACAACATTTCTAAAAAAGAGAATTCATAGTAAACTCGTTCCTCACCCTCAGCTTATTTTCAGAAAAACAAGTTTTTTTCGTAATTAATTGGAAGAATAATGTAATAAATATATGAATTGATTTATAGTATATAAAGTCACTTGAACAAGAACAGAAAAAAACATTGCCTATGACTGGGATCGAACCCTGCCCAGCAAAATAAAAGGTCGGGGCTCTAACCACTGAGCTATTATAGTCCCAACTATATAAATGATGCTTGAAAATTATAAGCTACAGGCTTGGGCACAGAAAGTGGGGGTCGAGCTTGCCGGCGAGTATCGGAACTCGCCGCGGATTGTTTTAAACAATTTTTTATTATTAATAAGTTGTTAAAAAAGGCTATTATCAATGTATTTGTACAAAAAAAGGTTAATGGCCCTGTTCAAATATTTTCTCATTTGTCATTGATTAATTGAAAAAAAATTTTACATAAAATTGAAATTTAAAACTCATTTTTGGCATGATAAATTGCAATTACATGCAATTTAAATAAAAAAAAAATTTTGCCGCAATTGGAATCGAACACCGTTCGGTAAAATAACTGGCGAACCTTCTGACTATAGAGCTAGCATATTTTCATTTGCTTTGTTTACGTTTAGATATCGTAAGCTTCAGGCTTAGTAACAGAGGGTGGGGAATGTGCTTGCTCGTCAACTGTTCGAACTCGCAGTCTGCTCTGAAAAATAAGACGGAGATAGATAGATATATTTTGTGCTCTGTCTTGCTCGGAACAGATTATTCTGAAATTTGTAAATTTCTTGGTACCCTAAGGCTCCCTTTTTGTAGTGCATCCCTGAAAATTATCATTTTTCGAACGATTTCTCTGTTACCTACTCAATTTCAATTGATATCGAGCTTCGGCTTTTCGCCGCACAACGTGAGGGCGTAAAGTCAACTCCGGGAAACTTTCTGACTTCAGCCCAGCCTTAATGTATTTGTACAAAAAAAGGGCAATGGCCCTGTTCAAATATTTTCTCATTTGTCATTGATTAATTAAAAAATAATTTTACATAAAAATTGAAATTTAGAACTCATTTTTGGCATGATAAAATTGCAATTACATGCAATTTAAATAAAAAAAAAATTTTGCCGCAATTTGAATCGAACACCGTTCGGTAAAATCACTGTCGAACCTTCTGACTACAGAGCGAGCATATTTTCATTTGCTTTGTTTCCGTTTAGATATCATAAGCTTCCGGCTTGGTAACAGAGGGTGGGGTATGTGCTTGCTGGTCAACTGTTCAAACTCGCAATCTTCTCTAAAAAATAAGACGGAGATAGATATATACATTCTCTGCTCTGTCTTGCTCGGAACAGATTATTCTGAAATTTGTGAATTTCTTGGTGCCCTAAGGCTCCCTTTTTGTAGTGCATCCCTGAAAATTATCATTTTTCGAACGATTTCCCTGTTACCTACTCAATTTCAATTGATATCGAGCTTCGGCCTTTCGCCGCACAACGCGAGGGCGTAAAGTCAACTCCGGGAAACTTTCTGACTTCAGCCCAGCCTTAATGACGCCGAGTGTATAATTCTGGGCATACAACCATCTAGCCAAGAGACATAAAAATATGCCTCCCGTTCGAATCCAAGGCTTTACTCATGAAGACTACAGAACAGGAGTCCAAACTCTGGGGCCTCTCATACGGAAAATTCGTACATAAAATTTTTTAGAGCAAGGGTTCTAAAACCAGCCACCAGTAGCGCTGAATTACGTAGTGTACCGAGTGAATTTAGCAGCATGTAAGACGCGCGAAGTTAGTAAGAAGACGTCATTGAATTTAGCTAACCTTTTGCTAAGTGGAAAATGTTGTGATAAATTGTAAATTTTTTAAATTGTGTAAAAATGACAAAATGTTGTGTTGTGCAAGGATGCAAAAGCGGTCATTCAGATGATGAGCGGAAACGCAAAGCTAAAGGTTTACGGAAAAGAACACTCTTTCAAGTTCCAAAAGTGAGTATCACTCATTGCATTTGGAGTGAGTTTTTTAGATGAAATTTATTTACAATGCTACTTAAAATTAATTTACAGTGTCATATTCGACGTCAACTGTGGGTAAATGCTCTTCAACAAGAACTTAAAGACAGTGATCGTGTCTGTGAACTTCATTTTTTGGATGAATATATCGTAAAGGGCAAATCAGTTCTGATCAATGGGGAGTCTATTTTCATAGAAAATGAAAGGTGGCATTAACTGATAACGCGATTCCTCTTAGAGAAGAAAAATGTCAAAATCAGCAATCGATGAATTGCAATCAGGTATTTAACCAATCCCTTAACGTAATTTTTTATATATAAGAAGAAAAAAAATTAATTAATAAATATTTTTATTCTTAAAGTCTACTGAAGAAGAACAATCGTGTTCGCTATCAGAACAACAAATTTTTGATCAACAATTTATTCAAGAAGAGCAAATTCTTCTAGTTGACACTGAAAATTTACAGCCAACAGGACTACTATTGGAGCAGTCTGTTGAGCCATCAGTTTCCCAAATGGAATGCGATGAGGTAAAAGTTTAAGATAACATTGAAAATTATTAAACTGAAAATATTTGAAAATAAAAATAATTGTTTATTTTTGCAGATTATACCAAATGAAGTGTTGCTAGAGCAAACTGCATCATCTTTATCTGCAGTTTCATTAGCTTTACCAAATGAATTGTCACTAGAGCAAGTAGTATCATCGTTTTCGGCAGTTCTACCAGAACGTTGGTGTTACTATGTACAATCATCGGATATGATTTTGATTCATCTCGATGTAGGTAGCTTGTTGGAAAAATTAAGATTACGAGTAACAGCTGATCTTTCTGTTACGGTAAGAATATAAACGCAATTTGTATGTTCAATAAATAAAATTACAATAAATAATTTAAATAAATAACAAAGAAAAATAAATCATATAAACTAAGAATAAGTAAATAGACTAAAATTAGATAATTTTAATTAATTATAATAATAATTAAATTACAATCAAATTTATATAGAACATAATTGAAACAAATTGACTTTAAATATTGTATGTCATTATTCTAGCTTGTAATGCCACATCGATCAGAAATAATTCTCACTGATCGTGTATCATCTATGGAAGAATTGTACGCATCTATGCGTAAAGCAGAATCACTCACAATTTGTTGCGGAACATTATTTGATGAAATAGGTAAAAATATTTTTAAATACATTTGTTTTATTCTGTTACATTTTTTTGATATTAATTACAACTGAAAAAATGTATCATAATAGATTTCATCTACATCACAATTACAAATAATTGATAAGTGTGGTGGATTTCTCATCGTTTTTCCAGATATGCCACCCAGTGTAGTGGAATCATCACACCAAATGAAAATTATCAGCGTCAGCAATAAATCCTCGCTGTCGAGCGTGCCGCATACTTCGCCAAAGAATACAAGCAAACATGAGATATAAACGCGATTCGACACTTGCTTTTCGTATTAAACGAAAAAAGGAAATTTACCGACAACGATGTCATCGACTTATAAGAGGTATGATGTATTTATTTTTAAATTGTTGTGTCGGCAACCTGTAGTCGTAACATTTGACGTAATATTAAAATTACTTCATATTTGTTACATATTTCATTTTAATATAATGTATTAATTCCTAATTTATTAACTTCAATAAAATGCAGATGAACATAATAATTTCATTTCATTTTGAACGTATATTTGTTACTAACTATTACCACAATTAAATAACTTTAATAGTTTTTTTTTATCATCTATTTATTAATATTTCATCATTTTAAGGTTTAGACACCGTAGACTACTGACCTACCATACTTGACAAAAAACTGATGTACTTCTCACTGAAATATTTAAAAAAAAGTGCAGTCATCTCAGTAATGATGGTCTGTATAAAGTTAAATGAATAATTTAATAATTTCATGATCCATTGTAATAATGTTAATCGTAATTTGGAAGTATATTTTGAAGATTCGAGCCGCGTATAATAATTTATTGTATTATATTCGAAGTAAACTCTTGGCGTGCTGATTAAAAATATAATTATTATTTTTCAGCAAGAGATATTGCAGCAAAAATTAATGACAGCCAAAAACGGTGTAGTGAACGTTCTGAAAAAATTTTAAAAGAGCAACTGACGCAATTGCCAGAGTCGCAACAGCTTGCTGTTTGGAGTTGTTTTGAAGCTGCTAAACATAAAAAGGTCAAAGGCCGAGATACGATTTAGAATGGATCTATGAATGTTTGTCAATCAGGATGAAGGGCAGGAATATTTATAATTTTATTCGGGAACGTAATATTTTACCTCTTCCACACATCGAGACTCTTAATAGATATATTCAAAAAATTAGTTCTTCGGCTTATGGATTTCAACCAGCATTATTTGACTGCATGAACAAAAAGCACAAGGAATGACACTATCAGAAAGAAGAGGGACTCTTATTATTGATGAAATAAAATTAAGTGAAGCAATAAATTTTGATATCCAAAAAATGAAATTCTCTGGTTTTGTTAATCTCGGACAATACACTTCAGAACGTGAAAAAAATGTTCCAGGGGATCATGCATTAGTTTTATGTATGTTCCTTTTCGTGGACGATGGTTGCAAGCAGTAGCGGCTTTCATCTCTAAAAATTGTGCTACCAGTGCTGTTCTGCATACATTAATTATTGAGTGTATAATTTCATTAGAAAGTGCTAATTTCTTTGTGGATGTCATTACAAGTGACGGTGCCCAAAGTAATCGTGGAGTGTGGACCAAGTTTGATATTTCAGAGTCCATAATATCTTGTCAGCATCCTTGTGATACAAATAGATAATTATTCATGATATCGGACTTTTCTCATCTAATAAATGTTTGCGAAACAGTATTAAATTGACTATAAAATCTCTAAATTAATAACATATTATTTAATATTGTAAAAAAAAAATTATTGTATACGTGTTATAAGAAATGTATTTTCTCTATAATTTATATAAAATACATTGGATAAAAATTATATTTTGATATTTTCAATGTTATGTTATTCCTAAAAATAATATAACAATCATGGAAAGTGGTACTTATAAGCTAGATAATATAAGTTATTAAAATACCTAATAATTTAACATTAATATAAAATTTGAGTATACTTTAATTATTTTCAATTTCATTCAAACATTGTTCAATTCCTTCAAAAATAGGATTATTAATAATATAATTAATACTCTTGTTATAATAATGTTTAATTTTGTGTTTACTATCAATTTTTTTCTATACAAAAAGTAAATTCAATTTTTTTATATTTTTAATTATGTATTTAAATATACCGGGAATTTCCCCCTCTACCTCGGTAACTTAGCGACCACAGTGCACTCTGCCCGCGAACGTTATTTTTTCAAAATTCCGGCTCAACTTTTATACACAGAGTTTGGACTCCTGTTCTATAGTCTTCATGGCTTTACTCATGAAGACTATAGAACAGGAGTCTTCATGGCTTTACTCATGAAGACTATAGAACAGGAGTCTTCATGGCTTTACTCATGAAGACTATAGAACAGGAGTCCAAACTCTGTGTATAAAAGTTGAGCCGGAATTTTGAAAAAATAACGTTCGCGGGCAGAGTGCACTGTGGTCGCTAAGTTACCGAGGTAGAGGGGGAAATTCCCGGTATATTTAAATACATAATTAAAAATATAAAAAAATTGAATTTACTTTTTGTATAGAAAAAAAATTGATAGTAAACACAAAATTAAACATTATTATAACAAGAGTATTAATTATATTATTAATAATCCTATTTTTGAAGGAATTGAACAATGTTTGAATGAAATTGAAAATAATTAAAGTATACTCAAATTTTATATTAATGTTAAATTATTAGGTATTTTAATAACTTATATTATCTAGCTTATAAGTACCACTTTCCATGATTGTTATATTATTTTTAGGAATAACATAACATTGAAAATATCAAAATATAATTTTTATCCAATGTATTTTATATAAATTATAGAGAAAATACATTTCTTATAACACGTATACAATAATTTTTTTTTTACAATATTAAATAATATGTTATTAATTTAGAGATTTTAATAGTCAATTTAATACTGTTTCGCAAACATTTAATTAGATGAGAAAAGTCCGATATCATGAATAATTATCTATTTGTATCACAAGGATGCTGACAAGATATTATGGACTCTGAAATATCAAACTTGGTCCACACTCCACGATTACTTTGGGCACCGTCACTTGTAATGACATCCACAAAGAAATTAGCACTTTCTAATGAAATTATACACTCAATAATTAATGTATGCAGAACAGCACTGGTAGCACAATTTTTAGAGATGAAAGCCGCTACTGCTTGCAACCATCGTCCACGAAAAGGAACATACATAAAAACTAATGCATGATCCCCTGGAACATTTTTTTCACGTTCTGAAGTGTATTGTCCGAGATTAACAAAACCAGAGAATTTCATTTTTTGGATATCAAAATTTATTGCTTCACTTAATTTTATTTCATCAATAATAAGAGTCCCTCTTCTTTCTGATAGTGTCATTCCTTGTGCTTTTTGTTTCATGCAGTCAAATAATGCTGGTTGAAATCCATAAGCCGAAGAACTAATTTTTTGAATATATCTATTAAGAGTCTCGATGTGTGGAAGAGGTAAAATATTACGTTCCCGAATAAAATTATAAATATTCCTGCCCTTCATCCTGATTGACAAACATTCATAGATCCATTCTAAATCGTATCTTCGGCCTTTGACCTTTTTATGTTTAGCAGCTTCAAAACAACTCCAAACAGCAAGCTGTTGCGACTCTGGCAATTGCGTCAGTTGCTCTTTTAAAATTTTTTCAGAACGTTCACTACACCGTTTTTTGGCTGTCATTAATTTTTGCTGCAATATCTCTTGCTGAAAAATAATAATTATATTTTTAATCAGCACGCCAAGAGTTTACTTCGAATATAATACAATAAATTATTATACGCGGCTCGAATCTTCAAAATATACTTCCAAATTACGATTAACATTTATTACAATGGATCATGAAATTATTAAATTATTCATTTAACTTTATACAGACCATCATTACTGAGATGACTGCACTTTTTTTTTAAATATTTCAGTGAGAAGTACATCAGTTTTTTGTCAAGTATGGTAGGTCAGTAGTCTACGGTGTCTAAACCTTAAAATGATGAAATATTATAAAATATATGATAAAAAAAAACTATTAAAGTTATTTAATTGTGGTAATAGTTAGTAACAAATTATACGTTCAAAATGAAATGAAATTATTATGTTCATCTGCATTTTATTGAAGTTAATAAATTAGGAATTTAATACATTATATTAAAATGAAATATGTAACAAATATGAAGTAATTTTAATATTACGTCAAATGTTACGACTACAGGTTGCCGACACAACAATTTAAAAAATAAATACATCATACCTTCTTAATAAGTCGATGACATCGTTGTCGGTAAATTTCCTTTTTTCGTTTAATACGAAAAGCAAGTGTCGAATCGCGTTTATATCTCATGTTTGCTTGTATTCTTTGGCGAAGTATGCGGCACGCTCGACAGCGAGGATTTAATTGCTGACGCTGATAATTTTCATTTGGTGTGATGATTCCACTACACTGGGTGGCATATCTGGAAAAACGATGAGAAATCCACCACACTTATCAATTATTTGTAATTGTGAATGTAGATGAAATCTATTATGATACATTTTTTCAGTTGTAATTAATATCAAAAAAATTGTAACAGAATAAAACAAATGTATTTAAAAATATTTTTACCTATTTTCATCAAATAATGTTCCGCAACAAATTGTGAGTGATTCTGCTTTACGCATAGATGCGTACAATTCTTCCATAGATGATACACGATCAGTGAGAATTATTTCTGATCGATGTGGCATTACAAGCTAGAATAATGACATACAATATTTAAAGTCAATTTGTTTCAATTATGTTCTATATAAATTTGATTGTAATTTAATTTATTATTATAATTAATTAAAATTATCTAATTTTAGTCTATTTACTTATTTCTTAGTTTATATGATTTATTTTTCTTTGTTATTTATTTAAATTATTTATTGTAATTTTATTTTATTGAACATACAAATTGCGTTTATATTCTTACCGTAACAGAAAGATCAGCTGTTACTCGTAATCTTAATTTTTCCAACAAGCTACCTACATCGAGATGAATCAAAATCATATCCGATGATTGTACATAGTAACACCAACGTTCTGGTAGAACTGCCGAAAACGATGATACTACTTGCTCTAGTGACAATTCATTTGGTAAAGCTAATGAAACTGCAGATAAAGATGATGCAGTTTGCTCTAGCAACACTTCATTTGGTATAATCTGCAAAAATAAACAATTATTTTTATTTTCAAATATTTTCAGTTTAATAATTTTCAATGTTATCTTAAACTTTTACCTCATCGCATTCCATTTGGGAAACTGATGGCTCAACAGACTGCTCCAATAGTAGTCCTGTTGGCTGTAAATTTTCAGTGTCAACTAGAAGAATTTGCTCTTCTTGAATAAATTGTTGATCAAAAATTTGTTGTTCTGATAGCGAACACGATTGTTCTTCTTCAGTAGACTTTAAGAATAAAAATATTTATTAATTAATTTTTTTTTCTTCTTATATATAAAAAATTATGTTAAGGGATTGGTTAAATACCTGATTGCAATTCATCGATTGCTGATTTTGACATTTTTCTTCTCTAAGAGGAATCGCGTTATCAGTTAAATGCCACCTTTCATTTTCTATGAAAATAGACTCCCCATTGATCAGAACTGATTTGCCCTTTACGATATATTCATCCAAAAAATGAAGTTCACAGACACGATCACTGTCTTTAAGTTCTTGTTGAAGAGCATTTACCCACAGTTGACGTCGAATATGACACTGTAAATTAATTTTAAGTAGCATTGTAAATAAATTTCATCTAAAAAACTCACTCCAAATGCAATGAGTGATACTCACTTTTGGAACTTGAAAGAGTGTTCTTTTCCGTAAACCTTTAGCTTTGCGTTTCCGCTCATCATCTGAATGACCGCTTTTGCATCCTTGCACAACACAACATTTTGTCATTTTTACACAATTTAAAAAATTTACAATTTATCACAACATTTTCCACTTAGCAAAAGGTTAGCTAAATTCAATGACGTCTTCTTACTAACTTCGCGCGTCTTACATGCTGCTAAATTCACTCGGTACACTACGTAATTCAGCGCTACTGGTGGCTGGTTTTAGAACCCTTGCTCTAAAAAATTTTATGTACGAATTTTCCGTATGAGAGGCCCCAGAGTTTGGACTCCTGTTCTGTAGTCTTCATGGCTTTACTGCTCTTTCTCGACTGCCCTGCTATCCTTCGGAAATCTCCATAAACATACATTTCTGTCCAAGCGCTCCCATATCAGTTATTCTTCTATTTACATCTCTATTCTCTGTTTCGACTCAATTTTTACCTAACTCGCCTCCGGTGGTAACTAAAACTATCTAATAATTTATTTTCCGTAAACAATAATTGCCTGTATGTATGATAATCTCTGATAAATAATAGCTTAAAATAACTTGAAATAATATATGATGAATATAAAAAACATAATTACTAGAAATAAATAATTTTCCAACCGCAAATTCTACGCTTCCCATATTTTGACTATATATTTTATAAATTGTAATTATTTGTTTTTACAATAAGAATAATAGCAAAAATTGATACAATCAGAAATTATTTTAAAAAATTTTGTAAGAAATAAATAACATTAGAACACCGGCTATAAAACTACATTAAGAATTAATCAATTATTAATTTTTTATTTTAGTAGTAAAAAAAAAAGGACAGAATTTACAATAAAAAGTTGTTAATGAACAAAAAATGTATGTATTTGTATATTATACACATTTTAATAAACATGTGAATGAATATGTGAAAAATGTAAAAATAGTTGATAAAAAATGTTATTTTAGAAGAAAAGAACTTTATAAGCAAAATAATAAAAATTCGGTCTGGATTTATACAACAAAATATTAAGCTGGGTATTCGGTTGTTTAAAAAATTTTGAAAAATTTATTTAACATTGTCAATTGTTTTGTAAATTCAATTTTTAAACATTGGAACCAAAAAGTTGAGTGTTCACATATGATACACCAATTCATTCTGGCTCATACCTTTGAATGCAATATATAATTTTTTATAGCATTGTTCAAATTTCAATTTCCCAAAACGTGACCTTGTCCCCAATTATGACTTCGGAATATCCTTCTTTCCGATCCATTTGATCGTTGGACATTGTGTGAAAAACCTCTAATATTTATTCTTTGACTTGGAAAAAAAGATTCTAAAATTTTAGGTGTATTCAATAGTTCATAACCATCATATTCTTGAGGATATTTGAATTTTAAGAAAAAGTATAAATTTCCAACAAGAATTCCGATGAGTTCTAGTATTCCACCTCCTGAAATTATCAAGTTGAATCCGCATAATACCCAAGGTAAATACATCGCTTTAAACTGCATTCCTGGAGAAATAAAAAATTTCGATCAATTATCTTACATTAATAAAAACTCATAACATTCGCACTTACCAAACCAAAAATTGATAATAATGTCTTGGTTCAATTGACACCAAATATACAGTATACTAAGGACCATTGGATCCATCAAAAGAGGAAGATTAACAATTAACCCTATTATAAGACAACAGATCCAGTTGAAAATGAGCATAAATAAATAATCGGCAGGTCTTCCACTATATTCTTCACTTTCAAGTTTAAATGAATATCGATACAAAAAATAACAATTCATTAAAAAGTGAAATCCAGTTCCTTGATGAATTGGGTAGTAAAATACACTTGTCACAGCACGCCAAACTTCGAAGTTGTATATAAAATTGTCATAAATTAATATAAATATTTGGGGTGAAATTAATGAGAAACGTCCGACAAGTGATAATGCAACAGTTGCTAATAACCAACATCTTGTAAATAATGGTATAGAATACAACCAAACTTGAAGATCTGACATTATTTGATATTGTTAATATTGTAACACAAGTACTTATAAAATTATAGAATTTCTGGCCGTTAAATACTTGATAAAAGTCGGAGTAAGCGATGCGCGGTACAAATGACTATGGCTGAGATATGTATTAACACAAGATGTTGAAGACGAGGCGAACAAGAATAAATTATCACGCATAGAAATTCCAAGTATATATGAAATAATACAGATTTAATTGTAATCTAATTCTTATTCAATAGAATGTATTAGTAATTGGAAATGAATAAATATTTCAGTAAATTCCATATTACTTCTGCAGAGCCAATCACCTTATCGGTTAAGGGCTGCTTTCACATTCTGGCAGATGCTTACTATAGTTGAACCAAGAAAAGAGTATACAGTCGAACCAAAAAAAAACTAATCTCGATTTGATGTCTAATGTCACGTCCCCATAAGATTTTAATAGGAGGCGGGAGATTAGACACCAAATCGAGACTACTCTTTTTTTGGTTCTACAGCAACGGACATAATTACACAGCATTTATGTCCGGTACTGTATAACTAGGCCACATTATGTGCGCTCTTTCGTTCATGTCAGTAATATAAGGGTGTTCACACACAAAAACTTAAGGCGGACTGAAGTCAGAAGTTGACTTTACGCCCTCGCGGTGTGCGGCGGAATGTCGAAGCTTGATGTCAATTGAAATTGAGTAGGTAATAGGGAAATCGTTTGAAAAATGATAAGTTTCAGGGATACATTAAAAAAGAGGAGCCTTAGGGCACCACAAAATTCACAAATTTTTGAATCATCTGTTCCGAGCAAGACAGAGAACAAAATATATAATATACATCCATCTCCGTCGTATTTTTCAAAGAAAAGTCTGTGAGTTCGGGCAGTTGACAAGCAAGCTCAGCCCCACCCTCTGTTACCAAGCCTGAAGCCAGAGAAAAGAGATAATGTAGAGAAGAACCGTCCCAATGAGGGCTGTTGGACGGTAATTTTTACCTGCTGTTATATGGCTGGGGATACAAAGCAAATGTTAAAATGCCATATGTATTCCCAAGAATTCGTCTAACAAATCCCTATGCGGTGGTTCTTCTATATAATTTCTTTTCTCTGCTGAAGCATATGATATCTAAACGCAGAGAGAAGACTGTCTTCTCTCTGTCTCAGTTTTCTCTCTGCTCTGACATATAAAAGACTATACTCTTTTTTACTACATAAAATAGTATACTCTTTTCTTGGTTCGACTTTACATACTTTTTGACAGATGTAGGTGTCGCGATTATCTTTGAATGTCAGAGAATTTTGGTTGAATCAAACTACTCTTATTATTTTATAATTCCAATTTTTTCGTAAAAAAAAATTCAATTCTTCATTATAAAAATACAAATTACCTTTTTCTAGAAAGCGGTCTGTACAATTTGGTTAAACAGCAGATTCGATTTTGTTTTATTTATTGAAAATCATTTTCATTTCTCAATGCTTAACACATAGAGCGTCCAACCTCGGAGTAGTCAATTCCTGAATATAGTTTTGATCAATTTAAATTAATTCTATTGCAATAATTAAGAATGCCGAAAAATAAAGGTAATTATTAATACTTTTTCAAATATAATATTAAATCATATTTTCATAAAATAATAAATTTTTTTACTAAACTTATCTTTGACTTATTAAAGTGAGGTTAGTTTCTTCATCGTGTTAACTCACAAAGTTATATTCATTGTTCATCGATATTTTAAGAATGAGCCGTTTACAATAATGAAAAATGGCTATTATAAAATACAGTTACATAAACTTTATAATAAAATTTTGTATTTAGGTAAAGGAGGAAAAAACCGTAGAAGAGGGAAAAATGAAAATGAAACAGAAAAACGGGAATTAGTTTTTAAAGAAGATGGACAAGGTATGAACTTCTTGATAATATATAATTTAATTAAGAAAAAAAAATAAATATGCAATTGTCAAATTTAAATGCTTATTGTGTTATTTCGTAATACAGAATACGCTCAAGTCACAAAAATGCTAGGTAATGGAAGACTTGAAGCTATGTGTTTTGATGGCGTTAAACGATTGTGTCATATCCGAGGGAAACTTCGTAAAAAAGTATGGATTAATCAGGGTGATATTATATTGATTGGTTTGAGAGATTACCAAGATGCAAAAGCCGATGTAATTCTTAAATATACCTCAGATGAAGCTCGAAATTTGAAAACTTACGGAGAATTTCCAGAAACTGGTAAATTTTTTTAATTTATTTGAAAAAAAAATTAAATTTTATTTTTCTATAAAAGTAATTAAGAAGTGAAATGGATATTTATTATAGTTACCTCATTTAATAATTACTGTGAAAATACATACGTAATTAAATTTTTAGTTCGCATCAACGATACTGTCACATTTGTCGAAGATGGTTTAGATGAAGAAATTGAATTCGGCGATAATTTTAGTTCTGGTGGTGAAGATGATGTTGACAACGTAAGTTGAATTAAAAAATTTATTTTTTATTATTATTTAAAACAACTATCTATTATAAACTTATAATAATAATTTTTTTTCATTAAGATGTGATGAGCCACCCAATGAGGAAATATTTGTAAACCCAAAAATATAATCAGAAAAAGTTAAGAAAGGTTTTATTTATCATAAAGATAAACCAAAAAAAGTTAAAAAATATTTTTTTCTTAAGTGAAAAATAAAGTAGCGAAAATATCAAATGCTGTTTTTATTGAATTAGTCCTCACACAACAACCTATTATTTTCTTGAAAATCATAAATTAAAATCTTTTGACATTAATGAAACTTAATGACAGTTATATTTGTTTCTTCTCCATGGATTTGAATACTGTGGATTTTCAAGTTATTATTGGATTTTGAAAATTATACTTTTATATTTAGGTGATGATTCTAATAAAATATTATTTATCATTTTTATATTAGATAGAAAGTAGTAATATTTTAGGGTTGGGTCTTATTTTGATTTGGTTTTCTAAACAAAAATTTATTTTTGCCCGATACTTTAAGAATCATGTTGTTTATTTATTATAAGCTGTTTTATATGATTCTAATATACTTTACAATAACCTCATGCAATTCAATCGATTAAGATTATCGGCCAGAGAAGAAATAGAAAAGCTGCAAAGATTTTCAAATGTATAATAAAAATATAGTATTCATAGATAAGAACTTATTAAATGTATACAATTGACTGGAATATTATTGATTTCAAAGCAATACCAGTATCCAAATACTTATTTCGATTATCATATTAATATTAATGTATGAAAACAAGTTGGCGTATTGTATTAATAAATTCATTTAAAATTAATTGATAAAGTTATGATGTTTTTTTAAGACTATATTACAAAAAGTAAAGTAAAAATAAAATATAGGTTACTAGTATTACAGTGTTAATGTTAGAAATTTCCAATATTGTTATCATAAAAAAGATAATTATAAATAAATAATATAATCTTTAATCAAGTTATGAATGTGCCTTTGGTCCTTAGGTCAGTTATGCTTTAGGCGAGTCTTTTATATTTTATAATTCATAACAGACATAGATATAATAATTTATGAGTTTGTAATATTTAATCATATATATAGACAGATTTTGGTCGGCCATATGGAAACAAGTAGGAGTTAGAAATATGAAAAACAATCTGTCAAATCGCTTTAGACTTTTAATTTCGGATATTTTGCTTATTCTTCAACCAATATTGTTTCTTCAATCATCTCGTTTCATTCCATAGATTGTTGTTGCACGAATCTTTTCCTGCAGGTATTTCATTATTTTATCTACTTATTTGCCTAAAACTAGTGCGCAAAGGTCCATATACTTTTATGTACCTACATTTTTTCGCTCAAGGCGCCTTAAAATAAGTACTCTAAAAAAATCAGTTATACTATATTAAATAAGCTATATTTTTTCATTAGCTTGATCACCATAATCAATACATTAATTCTATGTCAGTACACGAATGAAATTATACGAGTTCTTAATGATAATTACATAAGTTTTTTTTAATTCAATACTTGTACAATAACATAAATTGTAAACAAATAATTTGATATAATTCATTAATCGTATTGTTATTTATTTTTCATAAATATTCACACTGCCTATTTCATTAAACAGTAAAAACTTTTTTTTAGCATTGTTATTATATTTATACATATAATATGATACTGCTCATAAAATAATATATAAAATAAAAAAAGATGATTCTTAGAATTTCGATAAATTTACAATACATATTTGATAGATAAATTAGCGATATCATACCACAAACATTGTGAAGAAAATTATGACTTTTCATTATTTAATCGTTTTATTTTTGATGAATACACTCAATTTTTTCGGTGATATGATATCATATGTATGAGGATTAAAAATAGCATTAAAGGATTTATTATAATTTTCTTTTTTTACTAACTTTACAACTCTAAGCCAAAGCAGAAACATTGTTTTTATTTATAGAAATCAGAGTAACATAATATTATAGGGTAATTTTGCATCGAATAGTTTTTTCTATTGACATTGAAACAATAACATACTTTACAATAATTTAACTTTCTCTCTTAAAATTATAAGAAAAAAGTACGTCTATTGTAAGTTTTAACAAAAGATAAAATTCAATAAGGACATGAGAGGACCAACAGCGGTTTATGTGGACGGGCTGGCATAGTAATGACTAGCATTGAGACTAGTCTAGCTAGCTAATAAATGATATTTATTTATAATTTATCGACGAAATTAATTTCTTTAGTAGAATATATTGGATTTTCAATACAGATGATCTAAACTTGAAAAACATTTTAAAGTCTAGACCTTAATATATGCATGAATATATTTATAATTTAGATAGAATATTATAAGCTTTTAAAAACAAAAATAAATTAATCAACATAAAACGCTGCAAATGTGAATTTTAACGAAGATTTGATAGTAATTTCACCTTTTTCAAGAGTATTTTTATGTTTTTTTTTCGTTCGCTTCATAATTTATTATAACGGAAATTAATTCTATTGAGGTCTTCTTTCTTCTATCATGAATTGATCAACGATTTTCTGCACTGGATCCCTTAACTCATGTGGATTGTCTACTTCTTCTGTAGATGTAATTGATGATGTCATTGTTCTTGTTGTTCTTGTTACTCTGTAAAAATGTTCATTTTTGTTAATACTGATAGTTTTAAAATAAATTAAATTTGCATTGAGCATATTGAAAAGTAATGTTTATCTCTAATAACCACCAAAAGCATATATCATACATAAGTCTGACGGCAATATCTTTTTCCAAATGGCTACAAGGGTAGTGGAGTCATACAACGCCGTAAGCTTGTTGCAGATCTGCTGAATTTACATCAAGCTTATGGAAATCTGTTCCAGATATGCACTTGGTTGGTTATTATGAATTCATTTATTTTATTGAACAAAGATGTTATGTTTTTTACTTTTAAAATAACGATTTAGAAAAATATAATGTTTGCTTTAGAATGCATTTTAATACATGTATATTGATACTTAATCATTATTTTATTTTTGCGAATGACAAATATTTATAACTTATACATATACCTGTCATTTATGAGTAGATCAACCTCAGTGGTTGTAGTTTCAGTAAAAGATGGCTCACTGTGTTGCAAAAAGTCAGATTCTGTGGAGACACAAGAATAATTGTTAAATAACTCTATGTATACGCAAAGTAATTCAATTAAATATTTTTAACTTCGGTAAAAATATTTTTTTATCATTTCTATAAGTTTATCTTTTTGTAAATACATTATGATACTTAAATATATCATTTTTCGAATTTTACTCCATGCCCAAACAAGGGATAAATACTATTATACACATAATAAAAAAAATCGACAGCATTGCTATAAACGTCTACAAATACCAAAATTTATTTCATTTGTCTAAATCCGTATTTATTTATTTTTTTTTTTGGAACATAAATAATCTCATTCTTCTCTTCTCTTCTCATATTAACTCATGTAATATTTTAAATGATATGATTATTATAAAATGATATTGTAGATATTTCAAAAACTATTTAAAAAATATATATAAATATTTATTATAAAAATTTATAAGAAGCATCAGCAAGGCCTTTAATATTTATGGGAAAATTTTAAGTACAAAAATCATTTTGAAATTCAATAATAATAATCAATAATGTAATGAATGTATTGATTCTTTCACGTAATAAATAGTTGTTTATTAATTCATTAAATCCAACAATTAAATATTTCAGTAGCTAAACAAAATCAGCGTTAAACATTTAGCTAAAAATATACTTCAACTATTAATATTTAATTGAAATAAATTGAGTTAATATACAGTAAATATATGTCCGTGTATATATAGTAAATTTTTATTGCTTGTTTAAAAGCAATTTCATAGTTATAATAATTATTGGATAATAATCTCATTAATTACTTACTTTATCGAAGAGATATTCAAATTAGATTATTTTATAAAAAATTTATCGATCTACTTTAATAATTATTTAGGTAACTATCTATTTATTAGCTTTATAAACACCTTACTTATTATAAATCAGAAATCACAACGCAATCGTTGGTCCCTCTAAACTTTAGCTTTATCTTGAGACAATATCTCTTATAGGAGCTACAAAGGATAGAGTGATATTACATAAGATTTTTAGAATAACAAAATTTAAAAAACAACCAGCTAACAGAAAATGAAGCAACAATATTTACAATAAATTTATTTCAAGTATTGAAAATTAATATTATCTAATTAGGTGAACGTGCTACATGATTGTTATATTGCTCGTTAAATTATGTACAAAATAAAATTGAGTACACAATTAGGCATACTAAAAAAAATGTTAATAGTATAACTAATAATAAATTATTAGATAAATTCATGCTTTAATTTTTTAAATAAACTTCTATTATGCTATAATTTATCATGCAAACTACCTTATGGAAAAATAAAGCTTGTATAAACTTTTTTATTGTGTTAATCTATTTGATAGTATTTTCAAATTTTCGGCCAGTTTTTAAATAATTTTTTATTTTTCGAGTTTACTCCTTTTTTAAAACAAATTAACCAATGATTTAAGCAAATGTGTAAATATATAAAAATGTGATTTAACCAATTTTTTATCCTATTTTGGGCATAAAACAATATTATTGTTTCTGAAATAGTTTCATTTATTCGTCATTATAGATAAAAAAAATATCTTTGGTCCTACCCAGAATATAATGGGTTATGGTTTGAGAGAGCACGTTGAAGTACTCGGGGTTCCAAGACAAGGTAAATTGCACTTAGACCAACCAACATCAAAAATGTCACCCTTATCCAAATGTATCTGGTTGAACTATGACCAGTCTTCTTCCCATTAGGCTTGTATGCAGTCCATACTGTATAGCATTTCTTGGCCGATTGTACGATATGGTTTTCTGCTATACCACGTAAAAATTATTTAACACATATACCTATACATTAACTATCGAGTAATTAACAATTTCAATTAACGAAAGAAAAATTACAGTTCTTTCTGTAAACAAAAAATTTAGCTCATAGTAAAGTTAAATGTGAAATAGATTATTATATCGTCAAATTAATATTTCTGTTATTTATTCATTATTCAACAACTTCTAGTCCAGTAAGGGTGCAATTTAATTAGCAAATCTAACCTCCCATTTTGAACCAAGATTTATTTTATGTAAAATTACACGGAGGTTCGAAAAACTATTTGCAGGCAAAAAAAATGTCCACGTCATTGAGCTTTTTTGTTATAAACAATTTTTTCCTACGAGAACCTACATATTTTTATTAATAACTTTTTAGTTATACAGAAATCGGTGATACTTCATAGGAAATTGTTTGTTCTTCACCGTCTAATCGCTTCAATCGTTTTTCTTTTTTTGCTATGTCTTACTTTGTTTATTTTCAATTAAAGACTTTTATTCGGAATTTTTTTCAGGTTTTGTCGATCTTATACTAAAAAATGCCCTATGAAATATCACCGATTTCTGCATAACTAAAAAGTTATTAATAAAAATATGTAGGTTCTCGTAGGAAAAAATTGTTTATAACAAAAAAGCTCAATGACGTGGACATTTTTTTTGCCTGCGAATAGTTTTTCGAACCTCCGTGTAATTTTACATAAAATAAATCTTGGTTCAAAATGGAAGGTTAGATTCTTTTATTACCCCTATTTTTATTTGCAGCCTTACTAGACGATTCTTCAAGTCATCGAAATGGATTTAAATAATAATTTTAACGTTTTTTTTGAAGAAAACAATACTTTATTTACTCATAGGAGATTGGTCTCAATTTAATTTTTAATGTGCATCAAATATTGTTGATTTGCAATATTGTTGATAAAAGTCAAATATGGTTAATAAAGTGTTTATAATAATAAAACAAGTGAAAGTCGAAAATAAACAATAGTAATTAAACAACCTCTAATGTTATTTGCATACCTCATCTTTTTAAATAAATTATTTACTAACATACGGATTGATGAAAAAGTACTATAGGTAACATGAACCAAAATACTTTTTTCGATCAGAAATTTTTTTTCTCAATACAGTCAACAAATTATAACTAAAATCAAGGTAAAACCATCCCTGATGGATTTTAGGCAACTTATTATCAACTTCAAAATAACGGTCACAATCTCCGATAAAAAACGGTTTATTAACTGACGTGCAACGTTAAAACAACTGTTAACCATAATACAACATTTCCTTTTTGACAAAAAATATTAAGTAACAACTGCAAAAAAATAACTCTTAACTACAACTAAGCCGATCAAGATAATAATATGTTTATTATTATATGTTGATACAAAGTTTAATTGACCAGTAATTAATTCTCAAAAAAAAAACAAAATGACTCAAAGTAAACGCTGAAATTATTATTAACCCAATTGCAACTTTCAGTTAACAATTAATATAAATACATCAGGGATATTGAATATATTGAATAATAATAAAGAATGAATAAATAAAATTTGCATGATTATTCCAAGCTGATTGTCTCCATGTTTATATACTTGAATGATAATATCAAATGTATGTGAGCCTATTTATGTGATAAGAAATTATCCTTTACAAGCTTTGTTTTTCCTTATAATTAATTTCACAGAAATTTTGTGCATCAACAAGTAAATGAAGCAGTGCAAAAGTTTTTTAACATAAAATACAAAACCATTTTGATTTTCATGCAATTGAAATTGAAATTGTTGGAAATAACTAAAATTAAAATGAAGAAAATGATAAAAAAAATACGTGGAATATTGATGGTATTTGAAAGGAGATAATGTTTTTCAATAATTAAACTGGATTTCGTTTCGTTGGAGGATTTTTTTAGCAGGATATTTACATCGCTTACTTAGAACTGTTAGTTGTGAGTGAGGTACCTTGGTCGTCCTCCAAAGGGGAAAGTTCTGCACCCTCATGTAAGGCAACGTCTGATCCGCTAGAGCTGCCAAGTGTACGCCTCTTGCTCAAAGACTGTCTTCTGGGTGGTGACGAACCTTCACTATCGCTATCACTCGATAGTTCGTGTCTGGAGCCACCATTTTTCGTTAAACCTGGATCACCTGAACTTGGAGTATCTAACGAAAACTGAGTTTGATCCCAATTATCTTGATCATCTTTAGATCTTGAAGAATCCCATGAGCTCTTTGTACTAATTGTTCGTATAGTTTCTTTCAAAATAACGCCAGAAGTACTTTGTTCATTTACTCTTTCATCTTTCAAGTTTAAAATGTGAATATTTTCGTTAGCAAAAGTTTGTGTTGTTTTGAAACCATGGCTATTATATTCTGTTATATTCTCAAGTTTTTCTGTATCGGTAAGAATATCTTTCAACTCTGTAGAAAATTCATATGATCTAAAAAATTTCTCTTTTATTGGGATTATTCTATCAGCCATGGTAGCTGTCTCTTTATTAACATCAAATGCTTGTGTATCGTCTGAAATACACTCTGCAGCTGTTTTTGATGTCATTACAGTAGAATCTTGGTCCAAAATGTTAGGGGTGTTCATTTCATCTTTCTTATTTACTTCATTATTAGACTCTTCACATAAAACAGGAATTTTACTTGTATAATTAAGGTCATCGGTAGTATAATCTATTGGTACAGTTGCTGTAGATGTCTTTAATGCTTTCATCGATTCTAAACACTCCGATTTTAAATTGTTGGCTTTATGAGTTTTTTGAAATTGGGTACTATCATGGAGTTTGAGGGTGAGCTCAGTTTTAATAGTAGATGATGATTTGACAGAGTGATGACGTGGGGCAGGAACAGGTTGCTTTGTTGAAGAAGTAACATGCCTCTCTACTGTCCCATCAATCTCAGCCGAATCATGCCCTGACCCATCCAAAAGGACACGGACAAAAACAGGAACAAGGTCATAAAGCACACATTGATACACACTAAATAAATTTTAATTCTAGCCCAGCTGCAAAGATTAGTCTTGTACTTTTGGCATTTTTCAATGCTAAATTAGTTTTATTTTTAATTAAATACTATAACGTTCAATGTATTAATTAATACTTTGAAAATGATAAAATCAACTCTGCATCATTTAATTATTGAGGTAAAATTTTTAGTTGGTATCAACATTGTGTTAGTTTTTTGATTATGAAAAATGGTAAAACACTTATCGATTTATGTCTAAACTGATTGAATGCACTTCACTGAAAGTCTGTTCCGGGAATAATGAATAAGTATTCAAGAAAAAGTCTAATATATGTATCTCAATAATTATCAATTGTGATTGCTTTCCATTCAGAAACACCGTGTCGAGTTGTGTTACATATTGTGTTGCTTTGTGTCTAGTTCTGAAGTTTTCCTGTATCCGGTTGTGTACGATTGTGTCTCTAAATGGAATGATCGAGTGGAACACAAAGCTACACAACTCAACACAGTATCGAGCTTCTTAAATAGAAAGCACCCTGTATTACAGTCATAATTATATTATATTTCGAATTTCCATTCATTACAATTTTATGGAATTTCATCGATTAACAAATTTCTATATTTATTATACCTAAATGAGTTATTAACAATTCCCAGTAAATACTTAATGTAACATCAATATCATATAGATGTGTCAATATGTAACAATCCCTAGTAGCCAGCCTTAACTAAAAAATTGTCGTCAGACTTCCGTCTATCTGTTACTTTTCTGAGTCAGATTGTCATTCATTTTTGATCTTAAATTTCCGAACAAAAATTTTACGTATGTCTACTTCAGAAAAACAATAAATACATACGTTAATGATAAACTTAGGTCGACATACGTAAGTCTGTCGTCAATCTTATGTTTATTTAGCTACTAGGGAAAAATTTAGGTACATTTATGATTTATTAATTTAATAAATATTAGTAAAGGTAGTAATAACTATCTTAATAATGAGTACATAGGCTCACATGTAGGAAGATAATTTGTAGTAATTATAATTAACATAATTATTAATATACTAACTGATACCCGCTTGCTTTGCTGGGTGTACGATAAAAGTTGATTATGAAACTTAGATGTAAATAATATGCTCAATTTTTTGTTGATGATAAACATAAATCTAAGATTATAAATATCAGTACTCTTCAGTGGTCTGGGTGCGACCTGAAAAAAATAGCTGATCGATTTTACTGAAAACCTAATCAGTTCAAAGTTGCGTTAATAATTTTTTTTTCTTTGCGGGGGGCTCCGCCCCCCAAACCCCCTGTTTTCCTCCCCCCCGACCACCTCTTCAAAACCCCCCAAACGAACCCCCTGCCGCACTCGCAATGAAAAGTAGAATGTGTAACTAGGGCGATACCTAGCTGATTGCCCACGATGACAGTGAGCAATCAGCTAGTTACCGCCCTAGTTGCACAATATACTATTATGTATATGCTTATTTGCAATACATAATTTATGTAACACTCATGGTACACAACTTTGGTACAAGTATACTATGTTAAATGTATACATGGATGTTATTATATCTAACGTTCACGTTTTAATTTTCAATATCCGTTATTTGTTAAAAAATAAACAAATTAATTATGATAAATCGTTGATCATCTAAAATACACGTAATGATATTGGTATAGGTTTTTTTTAATTACCTAAATTTATACTCATTAATAACATAATTATTTATCCTGTTATCAATATTATTAAATTCAATCAAAATATTTACATATGCAGACCAATATTCTTATTTAGATACCAAGTATTAGAATGGCCGAGCAGGTTAAGGTGAAGGTTTAAGTCGTATGCGTGCGAGCGGTCGTAGGTTCGAATCAAGTAGAATTTAATTATATTAGCAACATCAACCATTAAAAAAATTTTTTTGATACAATATAACGAGTATGTCACATTTGTAACATTATATCCATATTACAACGATATAACAATGTTACGTCACATTATTACGTTTATGAGTGGAAAATTGTAAATTACATGTGAGTCATATGTGACTCACATTTTATGTAACAAATAAAATTTAGTTCTATCACGGTGATATAAAATTTACAGAACAATGTTCATTGGGACGTCGATATCATTTTTGTTTTCGAGATAATTGAGGCGAACCAAAATTCTGAACGCACATACGTGCATACACATGCACAGACTCCACTGGAAAATTATCGTATTCAACTCTGGGAGCCTTGAAACATGGAGATATGTCAAAATTCAGGATTCGCAAAATCGGACCATTACTATAACTTCCCACTGAGAAGTTAGTAATATAGTGACTTTGGTATGTAATGTAATTGATATCTGATTGCCTCTCTACACGAAAAGAATATTACATTATTTTTTTCTACAGATTGCAATAAAATTTTATTATGGGATGTAGTAATGTCAGACCAGTTCAAACTTGTAATCCTCTATACTGTGGACCATAGTAAAATCTTCCAAGAGAAAAATTTTCCATCGACTTAAGTTTGAAATAGTACATTTTACGACTAGGAAGAAAAAGTAGACTAGTTCAAACTACGTGGTGAGCACGCGATTTAAATAAGTTTAATTATCCTCCTTGGGGCTGTATATAATTTTCCATCATACCTGCGTAGAAAGTTCAACTCCTCTCTAATGAAAAAGTGAACTTATTACACGCGTGTGACGAAAATACTATTAACCATGGTAAATAGTCTTACTGTAAAAAGTCCAATGTTGGGCCAATTAGAACTTGAATTTGATTATAAGTTTTTGAATTAATTTTTTTTTTGTTATCAATAATAAATGTTTTATCTGCGTTCGAAACATTTGTAAGAAAAAAAAAAATGCATAAAGAACAGCATGTTCGGCCGTAGGATTTTTTACTGTGGTTGATAGTATATTCAGGCCCAGGTCAATGGGGAATTTTTTTCTTTCTTGTACAACCAACCCGAAACATAATTTACTATGGTAGAAACGAATCTTCTTTATTTTAAGGTTATGTTGCTCGAAGAAAAATAATTTTACATATTGACAATTTGTAACTTCAAATTCATTTGCCGCGAAAACTGCAATAAATGGAAAAAATGTTTTAGACAAAAGTTGTAGATTTTCGTATTATTTTGTTCAGTAACAATAACTGATGATGATCGACGAAAAAAATATTTAGAATAGGCATTAGTCAAAATCCGTTCTTAGTAGGTGTCTGTGACGAGAGAGATATAACTATATCAAATTTGCCAAATCACACTTTGTCTGTGTTAAAATGACGAACTTTCCATAAGTAATTACTTATAACTAATTCAAATTTTTATAAATAATGCATAATTACTGAAAGTCATATCTTGTCGTTACTAATATTATTTCGTTGAAAGAATTCGAATCGTTGCGATATACGCATTAGGTAATTGATTAATACTTGTAACAACATGGGTGAATCTATTGTCACTCAGCCCTTCAGTAAGTCAGTACGTTATCAACTTATTGATCACTAGTTGACCTAATTTACCAATTAGATCACAATTGATTTATTTTCGGCGGCGCTATTATAACCACGTGGCTAGAATAACTTAAAAAAACAAAAAAAAACAAAAAAAAAATCATTAATAATAAATTCAGGAATCCACTTTTAGATTAGGTTCTAAGAGGTTAGGTACTAGCTAGCTAAAATATTTGCAGCAAGAATCCATTGTAGTATTACCATAGAACGAGTAAGAACGCGGTGTCCACTCTTTACAAACTACAATAATTCTCCAACGTTGCGAAATAGTATTATTACCGAACAAAGTACTGGATAAAGTATCGTAGAATGTACTTGATGCAGATTCACTGTTACATCCAATTTTTCGGCTCTGTATAGTTTTAATGACAGTAAGATAAACGAATTTTTTTTGCTTTTTTCTTTATTGGAAATTCATTTAGTTGTATTTTAATTTATTGAATTTTTTCTTTATTTGAATTAATTAAAATTTTTAGTGTTTACGACGCAATTAATATTTTTAATTGTTTATTTACGGAAATGTAACTTTCATACATTCTTTATTTGAGTATATATATATATATAAATTCTATTTGTTTATATAACCCAATTTCGCCGTTTTATGTACTGGACTGTCATTGTATCGTCTGAACCTCATCTTCAGATAAGATAATATTTTTATTAAATTATTATTGATTAAAATCGAAATTATCTGATGATCTTTTTTTTTGCGCACCGAAATTCCTGGCCCTACTGATGAGTTATTCCATTTCTGAGGAATATTCTGGAAAGTTCTCTGGGTTTTCACTAGAAAGTTCGACTGCGTGAGCTCTCTGCTAGTACACACGTATCGAGTTGATTGTTACAAAAAGTTATCTGTGGGTTAGCATCGTCCGATGATGCCCAAGAGTCGTCTGAGTACGAGCTACGTACAAATACTCGCAGTAACCGACGACTACGGACAGAGTTTTTCCCGAAAACTCTGCGTTCTCGAAGCTTCTAGATCCTTTGAGAAGGAATATCTACGCCTAGGAATTAATTAGAACAGTCTAATTGGCGTAGATGAGTTGGCAGGAGAGACCTTGAGTTGTCTAATTAAGCGATGGGGAAAAAATGTCAGGATATGAATAAAACACTCTTGACCAAGTCAGAACACAATCCATAATTATTATTGTTAAATTACATTTTGTGAAGTTTATTCGTGATTACGATAATTTTCGTGAATTGCAGGTGTAACAGAGCTAGCCAGCTTTACTCAGGTTTTTCGTTTTGTGGCCTAAAAGACAAGTGGCGCCTACAGGTAGGATTTTTAATAAATTAATTTTTGTTTAGTAAGTTGGCACCTACACAGTCAGGGATTGAGACAACTTGCCCTGATCACACTACTGTTGCACATTATTCTTAATTGTTCATTACAAATTCACATTGTTATAAACAATATGTAATTGTTACAAGTCATATTCAATTGTGAACAATAATTTTTTGTCAATATCGACTTAATTTTTAAATAAAATCGTTATTGTTTAGCTTTGAAGAATTTCAAATAGCTAATTTTGTCATTTATTTATTATTTATTTCGTTACAAAAAAAAATCTCTATCGAATTTGTTCAAATTTCACTCAGATTTGCTTAATAATAATATCTTTCGAGTAAATTTTGGTGAAAGTCAATATCTCGATTTTTGAGATATCGAAAATGAAAAAATGCTAACATCCGTACATACATACGTGCACACATCATTTCATCCCAATATACTGACTATAAATATATTATATATGTTGACAACCAAATTCATCAAACTTCGTCAAAGTGTTTTAATCAATTAAACTTGATTGATTACTGAACATTTAAATAAATATATTATTGGTATTTGTCTTTTAAAAAAATATTACATATGTATCTGTTGATATATGTGCAAATATCATATTTCATTTAATAGTCGATAGCTAAGCCGGTTAAGATACCGGTTTAAGTTGGGCAAAATAGTAGTCATAGATTCGAATCCCCATAAGTATAATTTTCTTTGGGAATTTCATTAATCGTAATCAATTAATAATATTTCCAATGTGATAGTCAAAAAAAAGAAGTGTCTGAATATTTTTTATTTTTAATAAAAAAAAAAATTATCATTACGGCCATGTGAGATAGCCTGAAACGTACTGGACTATTTAAGGCGGTACATTAAGAACCTGGACCTGATCAGATTTACCTTCTTGAGCCCTAACAGGGAACCTGGGATACCAGATCCGGACCGGATCCCAACCTGACTTATTTTCTACTCGAGCCTGTAACATCACGATATCATAAAGGTTATATTATCGTAACATAACAGTAAGATAACAATGTTATGTCATTGAACAGGAAATAGTAAGGTGTATGTTAGACCTATGTTGTATTGCTGCAACATTCCACATATAACAAAGTTCTATAACAGCAATGTAACATGAATCTAACAGTGTTTACTGGGAAAAAAATTGGAAAAACTTGAGTAAAATATTTTGTATCGAAGTAAAAACAAACCGATTTCTCTACTAACTACAGATATTATTATGTAATTCATTGTAATGGAAAAAAACTGATAAATTAATCATGTAATTTTTAATTCAATTTCCAATGAAATGCATTCGTGAAATATTAGTCAATGTGATAAGCGTCCGCAAGTGCTAACTATAGAAGATAAAGCTAAATATAACTGAGGGCACCAAAAGAGTAAGAAATTATATTATCGTACTGATCTCTTTCGGCTATTTCAGCTGCTATGACAATCATACATCATGAAAGTTGATAACACATCTTTTAACTTACTAGTGTGTATAAATCGATAGAACTTACCAGATTTCATGTCTGCTAAATCTTGATTCGCAATAATTCGGGCTCGTATAGTTGCTTCCTCGGTAACATCTAAAAAAATCCATCAAAAAAACATGAGACTCATGATATAATTCGAGTAAAACATTTAAAGCGTGATTTAAAAAAACTTGTGAATGGAATGACTTAATGTTCTTAACCTTATTATGGATTCATATTACCACTATCTCTCAACTCTCCTGTGATTGAATTAATCAGGTAACTTTTTATTGCACTGCTATTGAGAATGTTAATCATTCCAATACTGTTATGATTCTCTCAGTTGCATTAAAAATATTAGCATTGAAGAATCATGGTAAATCGATTTATGAAAAAAGAATTAATTACTCAGAAGAATATTTTATGATAATACGTCAGAAGAAAATAATAGAGGTAATTGTCTGTTTTGCTGACCGACTTTTAAGCATAATTAAAGTGAAATAAATCAAAATTCAATAGCTTTTCATACTTATTTAGAAACTGCGCTAAAAAAATAATTTTCACGTGAAATGATTTTATTAATGGAGCACAATTGTGTTGAAATTAGATTCTCAAAAATACAAAATATGAAAAAAGTTTAATAGATAAAAAACGACACATAAAAAAAAATTATTAACCCGCATATATGCGTAATAAGAAAAATATACATCAAGCCGATACAGAATTTGCCAAAAATATATGCGCGCATAATTTTTCCATGCGGGATGAAACAAAAACATTATAATTTAATAAGCAACCGTATTAAAATTAAGTAATCATAAATAATTATAGTTTGTATTTGTATTAATAGATACGGAAACATGAAAATTATTCGAATTATAATAATTAATTACTGACACATTTTCATCACTATTCGCACTGACAGGTATTGTAATTAGAAAAACATGATGTTAACGAAAATTACACATAAACCATAGGTCTCACGACATTCGATGTGATTTATTATTATCAAGGAGTTATGATATTACGAATTAAGGAAATTTCAATAAACTCGGCTTAAGATGCTCTCACATTTCTCTGTAATACAATATAAAGTCACTGCAATCTATCTGGATGGTCTATCTATACAAAAACTTTGATATCTCGGCGTGGAAGCAAATTATTAAATATTGCACGAGTCATATCATCAGCAAAGATTGCAATAAAGAGAAATGTAAAATAGACTTGACCGTACAGCGCATAACGATTTTTAATGAAAATAAGTTGCATTTCAATCGGGGTTTAATATTTCACAATATTCGAAGTAATGGAATTGAAACCAACCACAATTAAAAGTAAATAATGTAAACCGAAAAAGATCCAAAAAGTTAATCAGGACAAAGGAGCAGTACAAGTAAGAAACAATGGAGATTATTTTAGATCACACATCTAATACGTGAATTATGCCGGAATGTAAAACAGACAATTATTATGAAGATACCTTCAATATTACAATCACCCAATTCTTCAGGGTTGAATGGCGAAGATGCCGTTGCCAGACGCACAGATTCAGAAAAGACTGTGGAAACAGACTGATCAACGCGAGGCTCGAGGTGCCCTAACTCATGAGATATTTCTATATTGGCTGTGTTTAGCGATTGGCCAGTACTAACACGATCGTGTAAACAATACGACCCAAACTGATCTTCTACGTCCTTCTTGGTCTCATCAACAAACTCTTTTACAGAATCCACCACTTCATTCAATAGATTTTGGTTTTCTTTACCAGTCGCATGAATAGCGTATTCTTGCATCACCTTTACATGGTCGTCAATGCCGGTACCATCGTCGACGGCTGTTTTTTCTTTACGATGACTTCCTTTATCCCCAGCTTCTTTTTTGGTCTCATCAACAAACTCTTTTACATCGTCAACAACTTCATCAGCTGCATGTTTTACACCCTTGAAAATTCCCGAAAAAAATCCTTTACTTTTATCTTTAGCTTTTTTAGCTTCTTTCGATGTTTTATTTTTAATAGATTCCAGAGAATCATCGATTTCACGCTCTACCGTACTTCTAGAAGAATTTACTTCGTCAGATGTTAATTTTAATTCCTCAGTAACTTCTGGTTTTACTATATCTATTGTGTTCATTGTCTCAGATACTGGTTTATAGACACCATCGACTACACGGTTAACGCTACTTTCGAGCGATCTTTTCGAGCCTTCTGCATCAATCTCCAGCTGATGAGCTTCTTCTGAAAGTTCAGTCTCCGCCACACCAATGTCGTTCTCGATTTTTTCAATTACTTCATCTTTTGCAGAATTTTTTTTAACAATTCCTTCAGAAACAACATCACACGTCGCTTTATCAATTACTTTAGCTAAAGTACCTGCACTATCAGCAGCTTTTTGAATAACTTTATCAACAGCTTTTTGTGAAGAATCCATCACTTCATTCAATAGATTTTGGTTTTCTTTACCAGTCGCATGAATAGCGTATTCTTGCATCACCTTTACATGGTCGTCAATGCCGGTACCATCGTCGACGGCTGTTTTTTCTTTACGATGACTTCCTTTATCCCCAGCTTCTTTTTTGGTCTCATCAACAAACTCTTTTACATCGTCAACAACTTCATCAGCTGCATGTTTTACACCCTTGAAAATTCCCGAAAAAAATCCTTTACTTTTATCTTTAGCTTTTTTAGCTTCTTTCGATGTTTTATTTTTAATAGATTCCAGAGAATCATCGATTTCACGCTCTACCGTACTTCTAGAAGAATTTACTTCGTCAGATGTTAATTTTAATTCCTCAGTAACTTCTGGTTTTACTATATCTATTGTGTTCATTGTCTCAGATACTGGTTTATAGACACCATCGACTACACGGTTAACGCTACTTTCGAGCGATCTTTTCGAGCCTTCTGCATCAATCTCCAGCTGATGAGCTTCTTCTGAAAGTTCAGTCTCCGCCACACCAATGTCGTTCTCGATTTTTTCAATTACTTCATCTTTTGCAGAATTTTTTTTAACAATTCCTTCAGAAACAACATCACACGTCGCTTTATCAATTACTTTAGCTAAAGTACCTGCACTATCAGCAGCTTTTTGAATAACTTTATCAACAGCTTTTTGTGAAGAATCCATCACTTCATTCAATAGATTTTGGTTTTCTTTACCAGTCGCATGAATAGCGTATTCTTGCATCACCTTTACATGGTCGTCAATGCCGGTACCATCGTCGACGGCTGTTTTTTCTTTACGATGACTTCCTTTATCCCCAGCTTCTTTTTTGGTCTCATCAACAAACTCTTTTACATCGTCAACAACTTCATCAGCTGCATGTTTTACACCCTTGAAAATTCCCGAAAAAAATCCTTTACTTTTATCTTTAGCTTTTTTAGCTTCTTTCGATGTTTTATTTTTAATAGATTCCAGAGAATCATCGATTTCACGCTCTACCGTACTTCTAGAAGAATTTACTTCGTCAGATGTTAATTTTAATTCCTCAGTAACTTCTGGTTTTACTATATCTATTGTGTTCATTGTCTCAGATACTGGTTTATAGACACCATCGACTACACGGTTAACGCTACTTTCGAGCGATCTTTTCGAGCCTTCTGCATCAATCTCCAGCTGATGAGCTTCTTCTGAAAGTTCAGTCTCCGCCACACCAATGTCGTTCTCGATTTTTTCAATTACTTCATCTTTTGCAGAATTTTTTTTAACAATTCCTTCAGAAACAACATCACACGTCGCTTTATCAATTACTTTAGCTAAAGTACCTGCACTATCAGCAGCTTTTTGAATAACTTTATCAACAGCTTTTTGTGAAGAATCCATCACTTCATTCAATAGATTTTGGTTTTCTTTACCAGTCGCATGAATAGCGTATTCTTGCATCACCTTTACATGGTCGTCAATGCCGGTACCATCGTCGACGGCTGTTTTTTCTTTACGATGACTTCCTTTATCCCCAGCTTCTTTTTTGGTCTCATCAACAAACTCTTTTACATCGTCAACAACTTCATCAGCTGCATGTTTTACACCCTTGAAAATTCCCGAAAAAAATCCTTTACTTTTATCTTTAGCTTTTTTAGCTTCTTTCGATGTTTTATTTTTAATAGATTCCAGAGAATCATCGATTTCACGCTCTACCGTACTTCTAGAAGAATTTACTTCGTCAGATGTTAATTTTAATTCCTCAGTAACTTCTGGTTTTACTATATCTATTGTGTTCATTATCTCAGATACTTTTATGTGGGCAACATTATTTTCTTTATTCTTACGATCTGTCTCGTTGTTATCACCTTCCTTGTCAGTTAATGTAACCTTTTTGTTTTCTTTTTCGTCATATTCTATTCTCAACGATCTTTCGTCTCGTGAACTACTACTGTTTTCTTTTTCCGTTTTTGAACTTTTAAAAATTCCGAAAAATAATGTTGGTGTTTCTGTCTTTTCTTTCGTTAATGTGTCATATTTTCTATCGTTGTCTTTATTTATTTTCTTTGTGGAGGATTCTTTCTTCTTTATTAATTTTATCTCTGTTTTACGTGTAATATCACTTTGTTTACATTGTACACGAGCAATGTTTAGTTCTGAGGCCAATCTTTCTCTATCTTCATTGGAATGCTGAGGTTCTGTAGGTAATTTGGTTTTCGTTCTTTTGGAATCATTTTTTTTCGAACTCTCTGACTTTTTCGAAAGTGTTTCATATTTTGATTTTTGATCTGTTGTATGAATTTCTGCATTTAGCTGTGTTTTTTGGTCATCCTCCGGTTGTTTTCTATTTTTCTCTATTCCATCGGTATGATTGTTTTCTATATTTGCGTCAGAAATGAATTTTTCTGCACTTTTTTTTGCGTCGTACAAGAAGTCAGCAGTTGACCATACTAACTGACGGTGTCGACTGCTCGCTATCAATTTTTTGTTGTCATTCATTATATCATTTGTAGCATTAAACGCCAAATCTGCAGATAGTTCTTTGATATGTTTGACATTTTTTGTGGTGTCTTTGATAAATTCCGTGTTTTTTCTGAACTCTCCATTTTCACCTTCCGCAGATGTTTCTTGAGAATCTGTAGTCTTTTCTTCTCTTAATTTCGATCTTTTAAAAATTTCTGGTAATATTTTGCGCTTTTCTTTTTTTTTTGTTTGATTATCATTGTAGTCATCAACGTTTATGTTTATAGGTGTTTCATGACGGTTTCCGGCTTCTATAATATTTTCTTGAGAGTTGTCAATGTCTCTATTACTGTTAGAATATATATCTAACATTTCTTTTGCAGTAGTAGGTTTCTTAGTAATTTCTTCATTTTCTTTGTATGTTGTACTCGTTTTATCGGGACCAATATAAGTTTGAGTAGATATTGCTTCAGGTATTGATGTAATTTTGGAGTTATTTATAATTTGAGAATCTTCGAGAAAACTAGGCTTCATGAAATTTTCTTTGACAATTAAAGAGTCTTTATTAACTGTGTTTCTAATACTTTGAGCTAATGAAATAGAAACATTATTATCGAGAACATCTATAGCACCTCCTGCCTCTTTACCCCCACTGCGCGAAACCCCCACACCCTCCATCATACATTTCTTCTCTTTTTCAGCATCTTGTAAAATACCTGTTAATTAAGTATTACATAATTTTAAGTATATCTCAATATGAAGTTATAAAAATAGGAGACATTTTTACTAACTAGTTCATTATGTAACTGTTCTAGCATATGTCAATAATATTTAATTAGTTGAAGCGCCTACGATAAAATTAAGTAGTTAACTTTATTAATAGTAATTTATCAATTTTAAGTTGAATAATAATACAGTGTTAAATACTATCTCTATACATAAAAGATAATAACATAAAGTTAATGTGTTTTTATGATTTCTGGTACATACGTGTATGTCCTGTGGAGTAGGTGTTTAATTAAACAAATATAAATGTTTGAAATATTGACCAATATGCGAAGAAAAAGGAATTGTTCATTTTTCTCCAATAAATATTAGCCTGTCAATTTGGGCACAAAAATGGCAATAAGCTATTGTTTAATTAGTAGATGTTACAATTTTTTTTTGTAAAAATTGTATTATGAATCAAAATTGTAAATTATACAAAAATAAAAATAAAATATTACAATTGAAGAGTGAAATGAAATGTTTACAAGAAAAAATTTTTCTGTGTACTAATGTGTACTAATTAAACAATTGCTTATTGCTATTTTCGTACCTGAATCGACAGGCTACTATTTATTGGAGTAAAATTGACAATTTCTTCCTCTCCGTGTAAGAGAAATGCATTTATTTCATCAATTTCAAATATTTTGAGAATGTGAGCATTCTTAATTTTCAATATTTTTGAATAATCTTTTTAGCTAACTACTCATTGCAGGTAACTAATCTTCGTATTAATTATTTTAAGTTTTATAGTAACTTTAGCGTTTACTTTGTGTCATTTCAAAGTAATTTTATTTAAAATTAGCTATCAATCAACCGTTAGATTGTTCAATTTATTAACTACGAGTTAACCATTTATAAACGGTATTTTTAGAGTTAATTGCTGATCAATTGAACCTTGTATCAACTTATTACAATAAACATATTATTTTATTGATCGGCATAATTGTAGTTAAGAGGCATATTTTTTGCAACTGTTACTTAATATTTTTTCAAAAAAGAAAACGTTGTATTACGGTCAACAGTTGTGTAAACATTGCACGTCAGTTAATAAACTATTTTCTTATCAAAGATTGTGAACATTAATTCAACGTTGATAATAAGTTGTTTTAAATTTATCTCTATCATAGTGATCTCTTTAATCCAAAAATTAACACGATTTTTCTATAACAACTGTATTTAACTTATAGTAAAGAAAATACATAACGTTATCGTTAATGTCTTAAAAAGATTTCATCATCATTTCTTAATTTTTTTCAGTCCAAATAGTGACAGCTGCTCCGTGCAGTAACTCATAGATACTAGTCATATCACATGAAAACTGTTAATGACCAAAATTCTACTGTTAAATTATTTCCAATAAGTAAATTAAACCGAAAATGTGTCTTAAGGAGAAAAGTGGCGTATTAAAATAAATACACTTATTTTTATTTAAATGTGCAAACTAATTAATTGATATATTGAAAAATAACATAAGAGAAAAGCTTCTGCATCGAAGTACTTAGAATATTGACATGTAAAGATAACACCATGTTGTGCTTTTTTACAATGTCTGGAGATGATTAACTATTAATTCACTGTTGATAGTAACAATGAGATTTAAATGCATACACCCAAGTAAAAGCATAAGATTTAATTTCGAGTTTAAAAAAAGTCAAAAGCAGAACAAAACTAAAAATTGTCTTGACCTGATTTAGAACTACGTACACAATAATTGATCCAAAATCAAGTCTTGTTTTCTAAGTCGAAATAAAGTCTAAAAATTTTCAAATGCTGATTTCGACTTCAATATATGTCTTCTCTTTCCACAATGTGCTAGTGCGTAAATGAATAGATATATCAATTGTTTGAGTCGAATAACATTTGATTTAAATTTAAAACACAACTACAAAAAAAATTTTTTGGTAAATTATTTTGTTCATGTTGTATTTAAATTCGTTCAGAAAAACTATCAAATTAACTGATGATTCTAAGAAAAGTACTAATAGCAATTGAATTTCTTCGTCTTCTTCCAGTGGGATTTGAACCTGCGGCCGCTGAATTTCAAAAGCAGTACTTTAACCGGCGTAGCTACTCGGTTATCTTAAATTTTAATTTAAAATAAATCTATTTACTATGAATTTTTATTCGCTATTGATATTAGGTCTGAAGCAGATCTTGTATTCCTCTTAGGAATTAAAACCTGTTTTTGACTTAGTAACTTTGATAAAAACATTTTATTCAATCGAAGTACATCAAAACCAAATTTAAATCATCTAAATCAGGTCACTTATAGTTAAGATTTGGCTTTGACTTAAGAATTGGAATAATATTAATTTCATTTTGAAGAACTATGTCCAAACCAATTTTAAATTTTACAAATCAGGTCTTATTTTGTCAGCATATTCTAACATCAAAGAAAAATAGTCCAAATCAGATCTTATTTTTTGATAGCTGTTTCTTATGAAAAATAAGTCGGAGGTCGATTTTTTTGTTTTTAGTTTGAGCGCGTAATTCAATTGACCGAGAAATAAAATAAAAATTTCTCTCTTTTATTTAAATAAATTATGTTTCACTTTAATGCTCAATAACCTACTGACACCAGAGATAAAATGACCATTTTGGAGAACATCACGTAATCATTGCAAAAACAATGATAAGCTCTTAAAAGAATCAATATGTTTACTGCGGAATAAGAGTTGAAAAAAATTTTTAGAAAGTTTTCAAAAAAATGCTTTATAAAAATATCTTGTAAATAAAAAAAAACACCGAGAATATTTTAGCCATAGATGTTCATTAATATTATTTTTCATCGAAATCCGATAAACCTTTTTTATATCTATGATGTCTAAAGATAGTAGATAGTCCTCATAGATACTTAATAAACAATTTTAAGCAGTCATAGCGACTGGCAATAAAAGTGAAAACTTAGAACTGTAAAATAAACTAATTAATTGTAGTACAAAAATTGAAAATTTGTAAATTGAGCATTGTCAGCTTTTATGTTTAATCTTAGCATGTTGGTGACACGGCTAGTTTGGTGATGCAAACTCACAAGTTCATCCCTCACTGAAAATCGCTCAATGAATTTATTGTGATAAATTCGATTTTGAAAATTTCAAATTTTGATATGTCTTCACATTTTAAGGTATTTATAACATGGTTACTAAGAGGATGACCGTGTGTGCACATGTTTGTATGTATGTATCTCTGCAACATGTTATGTATAACTTAAACATGATTAAATTTTAAGTGAAATCATACTTTCCAAAATTTTCTCTTTAACTCTTGCTTTGAGGTAAACACGTTAATTCATGAAGAGGCTAATACTTAGGTAGAAGCACAAATTTTTTACTCTATTTCTCAAAATAGTAATTTCAGATTCGATTCGATCAGATATAAATTAATGATAGTCATTTTAATGAATAATTTATCAAACATGAATTTTTAAAAAATGAATTTTTCGTAATCTACTAAATACATTAGAAACCATATAAAATGCAATAGTTGGCAATTAATATGAATGTAAACACAGAAGATAAATACTTCGACAAATATATTTAGTATTGTTAGCATAGTAAGACAAAATGATATTAAATTGTTCCCCGCAAGACTCGTCCATTATCATGTTTTAAGTGATGACAGGTATGATAAAGTGGTCTTATGACGTTATGTTCAACGTTGCTCTTCTATTCGCAATGCTCTATGTTATATAAAACATTTTTCTTGTATTACTATCTTAAATGCATTAATGCTAATTATTGAATGCTGTAACATTTAGTAATTCAGCAGTTTGTAACGCATGTTAAAAACGTATGAATATGAAAAAAATAGAAATTTAATATAATAATAATAATAACATGATAATTATGTATTTCAACTCTCTCTTTCTTTTTGACCCTTTATTTTGCAGTTCTACGACTTGTACAGGCTTACTTTTCGAAAAAAGACTGGACCAGAAGTCGAGGGGATGCTCTACCACATAACAAATCTCTTACCTAGTAGTCAAATCGACTGACGAAAGACTTACGTTTGTTAACCAGAATTGTCATTCATGTATGTATCTACCGTTGTTCTGAAGCAAATATTTTGATATCACTGCTGAGAGGGAGAGAATCAAATTAGGAATTTTTGAGCGAAATTGTAAATAAAATTCAATTTTTTTCCAATTTGAAACTTTCTGGCATTAAAATTCTTAGGCCAAAATTTCTTTAATTAAGATTCTTCAAACAATTTTATGATTATTATGAATAAAAAGATAAATTCATGACGATAAAATGTTAATAATAATTTGGGCAGGAAATTTTTTTCTCACAAAATTTCTAGCAGCTTCATTTTTACAATCCTTATAAAAATTAGTACTTGAAATTCAGTAAATGATATGAAATTAAGTAATAATGTTAACTTATGCTGGATTTATAAAATGGCGCCTATACCTCATTTGGACCTTGTCAAGCCAGATGTCGCTTGTTGCTTTCCTCCACTTTACGTTTTTAGTGATTTAAGGCTGGGCTCATAGAGAATAGAATGAGGAGGCCGCACTGACGTTGGGGAATAATTGCCCTCATAATAATAATTGCTCTCATAATTGCCCGCGAGGTCGATTCATGGTTTCTAATCATTTTAGTTGGGCAGGATTATAGATCAGACTGTTCTCTATTAGTCTGCCAATTTTTATTCCTTAATATTGATGTTGAAGAAAGTTACAGACTTTAGAAGCTACAAAAATCATGTTTTCTGTACCTTCTTCTCTAGGCTGTCTGGCCTCAACTGATGTGGGCGCTACCACTGTAGCGCTTTTATTTTCTTATCCCTCTCTCTTCTCCTATTCGCCCACTTGTTTCAATTTTTCTGACGCTTCTTGACATCAGCGCTGTCCGTAGAATTTAGGAGAACTATCCACCAACTCTACTTTAAGTACCAAAATTCTATCCCTAAGCTCGGCCTCCTTATTATATTCTCCATGGCTGGG